AGCCATTAGCGAATGTAAATTGTTTTTCTGTCAATTAAGATATGAATTATCCAGCTGAAATCAGCGCGACTGATGTAATCCACTTCTATTAATTTGACTAAAAGGAAAAGTAGTCACTACACAAAATCCAATCAATAAACTTCGCCAGCCAACAACAGTGTGGTCTAATTGGTAAAATCAAGTGGGTTTGTTTCGTCTGCCGGCGCCCTGCTGGGGAAAATCTTCAAGTGAATACCGAGTGAGAAAATAGCACATCTTTACTGTTACAGGGTTTTACACCCGTGGGTGCTGCATGAAACACTTAGACTTCCTTTGTGATTAAGATGTTAACCTAATCAAGATAATAAAGTATATCAGACATTATTTATGTGTAAAAATGACTAAACTAGCGTAGTTTCTTTGTATATACTTTCAGCAGTGCTTTATCTGCTGCTSCTTGGTTTTCTTTCTGTTTTGTTAATGATAATGTATCCTTATGATACTTTTTGAGAATTATTTGGAATAAATCTTTCTTTTTTTAATCAGTGCACCATATGTAGAGGACCGTTTGTTTTAATTAGGATGAGTCGATAATCAAACAACAAAAGACTGGATAAAAACTGCATTCTCAARGAATGCTGTGTTCCTGTAATCCTGAGGCTCCAGGGTTGAGCCCATTGTTCAGGACAAATGTCCATGAGTTTACAGAAATCGAGCGAGCGTCTAGTACCAAATGGACAAATTAACTCAGTTTTTCCTTGTGATAAAACTAAGTTAAACTCAAACTATATCTAATCCCTTTATTATACTGGGCACCAGCTTCCTTTGTCACGTGTTTACYGTTTYGGCTCTGTTACGATCTTGTTTAGTGGCACAATGGTACCAGAGGTGGGTTGGCTTTGACCCCCTCTATACCTTGGTCCATTCTGAAATCACACCGAGGTGACCATTAGGCATCCAAGTCCTGGACCAGAAGTGGTGTTTTGTGAAAGAACCCTGAATACAAAGCTTGTTTTAGACAAACAAAGCATCATTATTAGATGTAGTATTTCATATTCTTTGCCTATTTATTACCTATACGTAAAGAAAAATGTTTTTTTTTTCCTTTCTACCCTTTGTTATAGCGCCCCATAGAGGACTGGCACCCTTGCCTAATGAAGTGCCATCCCTGGTTTAGCTCATTCAGGAGATRGGAGCTATGACTTAATTTTTAGTCTTTCTAAAACATTGTACTTTATTTGAGGGGTTATTTTTTTTGTTTGCTTTTTTGTTGGCGTCATTGAAATATATGGAAGTTCAGTTCAGTTCTTTTAAAGTCTTCGTAATCACTTCAGCATGGCTCTACTGAGAAACTCTTTTCAAACTTCGAATGAGCCACAAAACTCAAAATACCAAAAAGTGGAATGATGTGGAAAAGGCCCATATCATTCCTTTATGGTCTTTTGTACCATTTTCTAAAATCACAGCTAAGTTAATGAATGCTTTTCTTAGTTTCAGATTTCATGCTGAACAGTGGCATCACTGTTTTCAGCTGAAAGCTTTTCAAACTCCTCAGAAAGTTTGAAAGAAACTGTTTACTATATTTACATATGTTTTAAATTGTAGGTATTTTAGTCTTCTATCACAAAGTGTGGCTCTTATTGATGTAGGAAGCAGTTTTCTTTCAATTTCTCAGACTAAATTGCAGATATCCAAGATGTAATTGGCCAACATTATACTTCAGATGAGAAAGTAGTGTTTTTTTATTGTTTAGACATATATTTTACATAACACAGTATAGAAACATATAAATTATGAGTGACTACCTGCTGCTTGTGGACCAACAATTATTTTAATACAACTTAGTTTCTGGTCAGCAGTTGTTTGTTTGAGGCAGTCACTAGTTTCTGAGCCTCTGTTCAGGCAATTCAGTGTTTTGCATTTTTTATATTATTAAGTGGCTGTGGTGTGGTGTGGCTTGGGACAAGAAAGTCACAGTTTCAACTCCCCGCCAAGCCCACATGGCAGAAATCATTACATTTTTTGGTCTATTTCTTTTTATAACCTTTATACAGACCTAGGGGTGTCCCGATACCATTTTTTCAAAACAGAATATGACTACAAATACAAATACAAGAATGCCGAAACCGAGTACTTACTAAGTAAAACCCTAAAAATTACACAGTGACTTTAAAAAAAAACATGTTTCTTTTATTTAGAACAAGGTGGCTCTCCTTCCTTACAGGTCTACAGTCCCTCTGACTGGATCAGTTCAAATACACAGCATGATAAATAC